CATGACAACAATTTAATTCTCTTTGTACGAAACCACTCTTTCGATATTTTTGGCCGTGTGGCAAGAAGCAGAATCCTGCTGAAAAATAAACGAAAGCATTTTTGGGAAAGAGATCTCTGATGGAAGGTAGAATTTTTGGTTCTATAATGTGTCAATGTATTTTTCTGGCATTCAGTGTCCCCTCAGTGACATGAAGGCGACCAATACCATCTGCTGACATGCATGACCAATCATAACACTAACTGGGTTCTTCACAGTTGCTTGAATGCAGTCAGATGTAGCTCTTCTCCTATTCTACGTCTTATATATTTTTCACCCATCACTACCGAATAACGATATCTTACTTTCATCACTCCATATAATAACTTGTTCCACTGATCATCTGTCCAATTAATGTGTTTCCTTTGCCCACTGTATTCTTTTATTTCGTTGCTGAAAATAAGATAAGGCTTTTTTTTTTTTTTTTTTTTTTTTTTTCTTTCGTGGAATTCTAACTCTCAGTCCAACATTTGTTATCTTTCTCCTGATTGTTCTTGAGCTAACAGAAACACCAGCAACATTCAGATCACTTCTGATCCACTGATGACATTTTGCTATCTTGGAGACATAGTCTTTTTTATTTTTTTCTGTCATCATAGATGTGGTCACCTTTTTTTTCGGCCTTTTCCTTCTTTGCTTTTTATTTAATTTATCCTCCCTGATATCGTGAAAAAACTTTCGGACTCCAGATGTAGTCATTGAATCACCCAACTTTCTTGCAATTTCAGCATAGGAAAGGCCTCTTTCTCGTAACACAATATTACATCTCTTTCTAGTTGTCTAATCTACTCTTTTATTTGATGTCATTGCTTCTTGACTAGATATTAAATATTTTTACAAAAATTCCTATTTGTAATTGCAGTGGAGAACTGCAATTGTAACATGTAACAATGAACAATGTAACTGCAGAAGGAGAGGTCCTCCTTCTGTACAGAACAAAGCAAAAGAATGAATTGTTTCAAGTGTAAAACATGATGCCAGCTTCTATTGGCAGTTACTAACATTTGATTGGTTCTCAGAACAAGAACAGTGATTGGCCAGGAAAGCTAGACATTACAAACCACTTCATAACTGTGTTTTTTTATTTATATTAAAGTACACAAACTTTTTTGTATTGCAAATAATTGAATTTTGTGTTTTGTATTGAGTTCAGTATTAAATTCTCTTTAAAATGATATATACAAGTTTGCATTTAGCGAAACGTAACATTTTCTATAAGCATACAAAGTTCAAAAACATAAAAATTTCCAAAAGTGTCCAGAATTTTGGCCACCACTATGAAGTCCTTATATGAAGTCCATTATATGAAGTAAGATATACTACATATGAGTCCTATGACACAGAGATAACTACATTCAAGAATTCAGCATAAGATAAATTTTGTGCATATTTTCTGAGCATTACAAATAATGCTCAGGCTTGATTCTGAAATAAGAAATATAAAAATTTGTAGCATTTCATCAGACTTTTAGTATCTGTCTTCATTATAAGGATACTAATACTTTTGATTGGGAAGAAAAAAACAATCAATCAAACATACATACACACTTATAAAAAAAAATTATTGCAAAAAAAAGATACTTGTCTTTTGTAGTGGAGTTCGCTAGAATCTGAGTGTGATGCATTTTAGCATTTTGAAACAAACAATTACCGATTTGCTCATGTGTGAGAAACAAACAGTTACTAATCTGCATTTTTGTGAGATATAAATGGCTAATGACCTAAGTGGTTTTTCATTGTAAAATACTCATTATGCTTACTATTTTTAATCTTCCATCAATGGGGGAAAATTGACTGTAAGAGTCTAAAAAATTGATTTTCTGGTATGTTTATATATGTTACTTTCTTCTTTTTTTAATAAACTGTTAAGAAAATTGTATTATATGAAATAATAAATAAAATTTTCTGGTAGTTTATACATGGGTATTGTTGTGTTATCAGGACTGGACCCAGAAGTGTATGTCCGTATGCATGCATGTATGAATGTGTGTGTTCATGTATGCATGCATATATGTAAGCTTGAATGTATGTCTGTGTATAGCATATACACATATATGCATATACATTCATATATTTCTGAATCCTGTCCCGATAACAAAACAGTACCCAAACATGTTGCTATTTTAAACAAACTGCTTACATAACTGTATCATATACAAAAATTAATTTATGTATTTAATGAGTTCTGCTGAATTATATTGATATTTTAAATAAATTGCTGTCAAATTTCTATAACTACTATTATAAATACAACTTAACTTAAATTTCTTTGATAAATAATTTGTGTTATATAGATAGAAGAAAATGCCATTTTATGATTTACTGCAGTCAGTTTTGTTTTCCTGGATGTTTACAATATTTGGCAAAACTTTCGTAAACCTGAACTACACCAACATCATTTTTTGTCACTAAGGCCACAATGGAAGATAAGTATCTAAAAAACATTTTAATGAAAAAAATTTCATTTTTTATAAAGAAATTTAATAATCAATTATTTTTTCAGACAAATTTTTTTTATCAGTATGAAAAGAATATATAGTTTTATTCTTTATTTCCAAGCAATTATTTAATTCATATATGTTCCATTTTTTGATTTTATATAACCATTCTTAGAATATTAAAAAGCAGCAAAATGTTTGCTAGAAATCTCAGGAAAGGAAAATAAAATTGCAAAACTGGGAAAAGTTGGTCTGAATTGCAAACTATCAAATGCAGAATTTACGAAAGGCTCAAAGAAATTTCTGAGATTGCGATTACTATCAATCTTTGCTAAGAAATGTTTTTGCTAAAACACTTAATTAAATTATGTTGGAAAACATCTGGGCTTCAATAGAAGTATGTACAGCACATGAGAATGAACATGTATAATGATGTGATCACAATAATTATACTATCACTTACTCTCCCATTATACAGTGGTGGCCATTAAAATGCAACACCAGGAAGGAATAATCTGATTAACTTCAAAAATCGCATGAAAGAAAGAAGAGGTTGGGATATGCAAATGATTAGCATTTCAGCACATTTAGATGATGCAGGATGGAAAAATAACATCTGAAGCACTGCATAAAAGAAAAATTTTGTAGTGGATTTCTCATCGAGAAAGCACTTTGTAAGGTCGGAGTTTGCTCAATATCATGTCATGCTTCAAATAATACGAAGAAATGCTTACCAGCAAGTGTTGATGTTCAATAGAGACAGGATCATTGCCTATCAAGAGTGTGGATTATCGTTCCGTGATATCACCCGCCGCACTGGTCGACATCCCACCACTGCCATGAAAATATAGAATCAATGGGTTGCTGAGGGCCATACTGAAAGGCATGCAGAATCTCAACCCCCTCCCATGACTGACGCTTGAGAGGACAGACATATTGTGAGGTCAGCCCTGAAAAACTGTACAACCACATCACGGACCATTAGTTAGGAAACGGGCATGTTTGTAGCAGCTTGGACTATCAGCACGGTGACCAATATGGCAACTCTGGTGGACCCAACAACAAAGCAACAAAGCTGGATACATGAGTGGCACAATGTTGTCTTTTCAGGCGAGTTCCGGTTTTGCGTGCAGTATTCTGATGGCCGTATAAATATCTGGAGCCTTCGAGGAAACCACACATTGTCTGCTTGCATTCGATATCGGCATAGGGGGCCTGCATCTGGTGTGATGGTTTGGGCAGTCATTGGGTACATGACACGCACATCTCTGGTTCAGATTGACAGTAATTTGAATGTAAATCGGTACATTTCTGAAGCCTTATGACTAGTGGTTGTGTCCCATTTTCGAGGCCTGCCAAATGTCATCTTCCAACAAGATAATGCACAATCACATATTGCACGTTGTGTTCTGACTTTCCTCGATACACAGGGTATTTGACAGCTGCCCTGGCCTGCACAGTCTCCAGATCTGTCCCCACTGAAAACATCTGGTCATGGGTTGCTCAGAGACTGACCCATCACTCCTCTCCAGTTAATACCGTTGATGAAGTGTGGTATAGATTTAAAGCAGCATGGAATGAGTTGCTCGTTTCTGTCATCCAAGCTTAGTTCAACTCCATGCTTAACCGGGTAAAGGACTTTTTAGCTGCCAAGAGTGGCAGCTGTTTCTACTAATTTTACCCTCCTATAAAACCCCAAACTGCTTACAAATTTAATCATTTTGTCTTCATACTGTACTCTTTATGTACAAAATATATGTTTTTCTTATTTGCTTTCATTCATGGTGTTGCAATTTTAATGGCCAGCAGTGTATTATATATAGGGCGATTGCAAAATAACAGAAAAAAGTAAAAATTAAATAATTTGAAAAGAATAGACAATAGCACAACAAAATTTTCAAAGAAACACATAGAAAAATGTGATTTTTTTTAATAATGAAAAATTTTATTAATAAAAGATTTACATTTTTACTTGCAGTCAAAAGTATGCAGAATCAGCTCACATTGCTAATCATATTAAAAAAATAAAAGGAATTGCAGCTAAATTCTCTTTGACATTATGCAGAGTATAGCCATATCTGATAGCCATTATATAGTACATTCGTAATTCTCAGTTTTAATTTTTCTGTTACTTTCCTATAACCCAATTAATGAAGATACAACTACATTTTGTGGTAAATTAATACTGAAAGAATGAATAAAGACAAAGTGATCTTTTTTGAAGTAAGGAGTACTTGTATTTCACATTAAAAATTTCATACTAGGTGTCATGTACCCAATGACTGTCCAATGTGCGTGTCATGTACCCAATGACTGCCCAAACCATCACACCAGATGCAGGCCCCCTATGTATGAAATTTTGAAATTTTTATATGTGAAATACAAGTAAATTGTTTAAAACGCACATTGAATGAAGAAATGTATAATAAAATGCATATCAGTAGAGGCTATGATGATTTTTGAAAGTAAAATATTTAAAAATAAAATATATTCAGGAATAAGTAGTATTTCAAGTTACAATACCTAACATGGCCAATGCCAGATGTCACAAAGACACTGAAATCCCAACTTGCATAATGAATGTCATAAACAGGATAAGTCACATTTGCATCATACAATACTAGTTCTTTTTTCCATAGATATATTATAACTTTATTTTCTGGATCATCACTTGCAGAAATTAAAAGTTCACCATTTTGACTAAAAAAGAAATAAATTACATATAGCACTTAAAACAACAATTTAAATGGCTACCAAATAAAATACAAATCATTCCTCATACAATGTAACTGAAGAAATAAGTAAAATATATTTTAGCTAGCACAAAAGAAATGAGGGCCAAAACAATTTACAAGTATCCATTAATCCCCTGAGCAGCCAGGGTTTTCGCTGAGAAAGTACAAATTTCCCAAAACTACTATGAGAACAATTTTTTTTCAAATTTTTTATTTTAACGTAAAAACTCTCCTGGTATTTCATACCTGGATTTGTGCACTTTTGATATATTGCCTTAATTTCTTTGACATATTTTAATATGAACGTTCTTACAGTTATCACAAAAATATTCTAAGCTATATATATATACGGCCTTGCCGCTTATATGGTTAAAGTCCATAAATGCCTACAACTGTAACTTTATATATATATATATAAAAAAGTCAAAATTCAGGATTACGACTGGGTATAAATGTCAGAGTAAAGAATATATGTAAATCAAGAAAGTAGGATTAAGACTGAGTATAAATGTCAGAGATATATGATTAACATGAAAATATGTAAGTACCATTTGAAAATGTGATACATAATATTGAATAGCATATTGAATTTAATACAAGATATATAAAATTTTCAGTGCTGTCTCAATATCCACCAACCGTTATAAGAATTACCAGACAAAGTACTAAGTCAGCAATACAGAATTTTATGAAACTGTATTTTAGAGGGTTATACTTTAGATCAGAAATCCGCAATACTTAGGACCAGATGCTGCCATGCAGGATTTAGGATTTTGTAGATTTCAGGACTGAAAAGACAAATCCTAATATTTAGACTAAGTGCGAAATAAATAAGGATATTAAGGACATGTACAATAAAGACATATGAAAATAAGGAACATAATAAAGTGTAAAATATTTCAAACATTTTTCTAATAGAGGTGTTCCAAAAGTTTTTTTTTTTTTTTTTTTTTTTCTAATTTATATTGCCAGAAGGTAAAGAAGAAGATTACCTTGATTACACAACCAATACATAGTTACAATAGTTGAATACACAACGCTTTACCTTCTGCAACACAGAGCTGATTCTGTTCAAAGAGTCAGAATCGACCCTGTGACACAACTCTGTCTTTCAAAAAATTTTAGGTATTCTTCACCCTATTCTAACCATCGTTACAAGATATTTTCTCCCTACTTTAAAATTCACTGTGGTGTCAGAATTGTTTTCTTGTTGTAACCTTTGCTGCACTGATCCTATAACCAGAAAATCACTGACATCACTCCAAGTTTCAATAAACAAAGAAGATGGCCATACATTATACTAATGTTTTTTGTACATTATGCTAATGTTATCAAATAACGTTAGCTATTTACTAATGTTATTTGATAAAAGTAATTCCATGATCCTGAGATGCAGTCTTTGGTGGTGAAATTTTTTTATGATCCCAGACTGAAATAGAATAGTCTCTTGAAAGAACTTTTTTCAGAAAGTCTGATTTATAATGGCATTTAATACTGTGTATTATGCTGTGGTCCATTGGTTGGATCTATGTAGTATTTGGGGCAAAAAAAGGGGTATGATATTATCACATATTAAAATAGTTGCATCTGTATGTGCCATGCAGTTGTCTAAAAATAGTAAAATATTACAATTTGATGGTAATCCCACACTGTTGCAATGCCTTCTAGCCTCTTTCATGAAATGTTCCATGAACCATTTGGTCATAAGCTGTTTTATGAACCAGAAATTTTTATTATTCCTGTAAACCATGGGTAAGGATTTTACTACTTTCAAAGCTCTGGGAATGCTGCCATTGGTTTACATATGTAAGTTCCAGCTACACTGCTGCATACTAAAATAGTAACTCTTATCAGCTTCCTTTATCACTGATGGTGCATTTTCTTCGCCTGTCACAAATTTTTTTCTTGGCAAACATTGCGAAAAAATTTTAGTCTCATCCATATTAAAAATCTGTTCTGGGCTAAGATTTTCTTCTGCCCTCAGTACAGAAAATTCATCAATAAATTCCTCTGCAACATCTTTATCTGCTGAAAGTTTTTCTCCACAAGCTTTGCACTGTGTCTCTGCTTAAATTGCACATCTCCTCTTTTAAATCAGCAAGAATCTGCTTTCTTTTTTTCAAAGCAGCAATGCTGAAATTGGTACCCCATCACTCTGCTGCTGCCAGAACAACTCTACTCATAAAAGACAGCACTGAGGTTCGCCAATTTTGCCTCGTTCAAAGATTTCTGGTATGGGATACCAGTATTGGAATCACTTTTGCAGTAAATTTCAACTGCTTTTCTTAATTTTTCCATATACCATATATATGGTCTGTGTCACCATTCCATATGATTCTGCTATAAACCGAGGAGTGGCACCTCCCTCCCTCTTTTGCAAAATTTCCTTTTTCTTTTTCTTTTTTTTTTTGCATTACTGCCAATGCAACATGTTTAGGTTTTCAGTTTTGCATGAAGTAAAATCATGAATACATTTCTTACCCGATGTATTAAAAATTGATGAAATAAAAAATATTTTTTATTTTATCTACAAAAAATGCAGATAAATAATAAAACGGCAGCCTTAAACAATCTTGTGAAATAACAAAGCTTAGGAAGTACAACCACGAGTCGTAAACTTGGAAGAGAATATGAGTGAAATTGTTTGCTTCAATACCTCAATGCAGACAGATGTGTGCGATGGGGAACTTTTACTATGATGTCAATGATTTGGTAATTATTTCTATTATGACATCATTTTTGGCAAGTATTTCATTTTTCTTTGGTATTTTGCTCTCCATGCAGTTTCCTGAACCTATAAACTGAATGTTTATATTTTGAGAGGTTGTGGGGGTTTCGGGAGTTGGCAGATTTTTTTGGTATTTGAATATATTTGCAGTTTCTGCTTGTGATTAGTGTGTGGTTCTCCCCATGTAGCAATTCATAATGCAACTGTGGAGTGTGCCTGCTAATAAAAAAGAAAGTGTTGTATTTTTTTCAGAAAGGTAGCATTTTACTTAGTAGTAGCAGTGTAGAAATGTGTACCTCATGAAGCTGTACTTTGATTGAATTGTTGAAGTTATCTTAGGGAATTAGTTTTGAGAAACTGTCTGGAAAGGAAACAATAACACTGTTTTGAAGAGATTTTACAGCAAATAGCTGAACAGTATCCATTGGCAGTAAAAATGTGAATACTGCCCAGATTGATTTTCATTATTATTGTCAAAGTAATAAAATGCATATAAAATGATGCATTTGGCTAGTTTTTATTTATCTCTGATGTCACATTATTGTAGTCTTGCAGACTGAAAGTAGTTTATGTTCAGTTCCTTAGGTTATTGTGATAATAGTTTTATAAGTGCAATTCTTAGCCTAAAGCAGCGGTACCCAGAAGGGCTATTTGTCTCAAACGGCAATTTGTGGTGTTTCACTATAAAAGGTGAATCACTTTGCCACAAAATATTATTGTCCTGTATGATATTTAAAGAAATTAAATAGTGAAGAATTTGCATGATTATATGTATGTTTCTCACACTGTGAAAAAAACGATGCTACCTAGAGCCATCAAATTTGGAATAACATAATCCTCCATCCAAACATGGACACCTGGAAGCTTTTTGATTTTTTTTATTATCTATTTCATATTTTGTAAAACTGTAATGAATTTTTGATTAACAAATTCAACCATTTCAAATTGAGCAATGGCAACACTACGAAAAAAACATTTTTATCTCCAGCACATGAAACTGTCTATCGGAAATTCTAAAGTTATGCTGTTTCAAAATATTTTGTGACATTGCTGTTGAATTTTAAATTTTATGTGGTTTAAATGCAAAAAATGATATTTAACAAACAAAGGTAATATACAAAACCTTAAAAAAGTCCTTTTGTGCCTCGTATAAATTATGAAAGCTTTTGGATTTATTATCATTATTCATTATTATTTTTTTTTTTTTTTTAAAGTTAAAACAGGTTGATGTGTACATGGAGAGCAGTAGCAATTTGCCCTTAAATGCAAAGAATTCTGCATTTCTTTGATGTTTTTAAAGCTAAAACAGATCACTGCACATTGACAGAATGCTGAGAAAATAGAAAATGAAGCATTTTATTATGGGTGTTTGTTGTGTTTTTAATTTAGTTAATTTGTTCCTGCTTTATGAAATTTTTAGTTCATTATGTAATTATGTATTTTTGCTTTATGCAATTTTTACTGTTTCATTATTTAGTTTTTTTCATTTTTAATTTCATTAATTCATTATTATTTTATGTAATTTTCAGTACACAGCCATTTTTTAAAACGGCTACTGTGTTTCATAAGCTAGACTTGTAAAAAATTAGTTGCCAATGATTGTGACTTAACAGGATGGTTGGGTGGAAAATGAAATAGTACCAAATTTTCTTACAATACATGCAAAGTGCTCATATAATTTGGCTGTATTTTCCAATTTGAAGTTTAAGAAACTGCAAAATAACATAAAAATTAAAGCACATTTAGCTATTAAAAATTATAAAATCATACTAAGTGCAAAAGTACCTACTGAAACTTTATAAGTCTTGAAGGCATTATAGTAACTTCATGTTTTAAAGTTTTGAAAGGTTTTAAATCAGGATACATGTAGATGTTAATGCACAAATTTTCACCCCTTTCAGCAACAGCAAATATAAACTCTGGTGGATAAGTCTGTAATATATTATTACTCATAAAATTAACATACAGTTATAAAAAATTCACATTAAGAAATATTTAATTATGTAAAAAATATTCAATTTAAAACTTAAATTACTTGAAAGAAAAGTATGCAATATATACTAGCCCTGTAATTATGACATAGGCTCAAACAAGATCTCAATCATTTGTGCACATATTTGTTCTGAAAACTAAAATATGTTGCTCAAAAGCAGGGGTGTATTAAAATTTTCTATAAAAAGACTGTTGCTTAACACACACACACAAAAAAAAAAAAAAAAAAAAAAAAGATCATTACATGGGGGTTAGCGTTATATGTATTTAAAAGTGGGCTGTACTTTTGAATATTAACTTCATTGAATATTTCATGGCATATAAACTAATGAAACATTCATGATAATAACTTAATATTGACCAGTTTTGAGAAGTGAAGTGAAAATCTTCGTAAAATTTTAAAATTAGTTAAACTATTAAACATTTTATCGCTCGGCTATAATTCAACTTTTTTCATTTATGCAGACTGTACAATTGTAATGTTTAGATATAATCAACTATAATAATCAATTACTCATTAACCTTAATGGTGGAAAAGTCATTTCACATATAATGTTTGAATACCGCTGGTGTTTATACATGGTTTTAATTCATATACAGGTTCATCTTCTACCCATACACAAGGAATGTAAAAATAATGAGTAATCAATTTAAATAATTCATAGTTCAGACATGTCATAATTACAGGGTTAGTATATATTACATACTAAGTTTATGCTAAGTTTATTTTATTAGTTTTCAAATTCCAATCACAGGAAATCAGACACAAAGAAGAAAATATCTCTGCATTTAGAAAGCTAATAAATTCAAACTTTTTATAAAAATCAGAAGTCTGGCATTTTTACTTATACATATTATAATTTTTCACTTAATGTCACATTTCTGTAATATGCATTCTTTTAGAAAAAAAGACATTTAGTTGTGTGCTAGCTGATTATACAGCACAAAATCTAAGCTCTGGAAACATGAGAATTTGGAAATTCCAGTTTTAAATCATCAGTTCAATCTAGTAATCTGATATGCAGAAATTATAAAATGAAAAATGCGAAATAATTGTTTAAGAAATAATGAAACATTTCTGATCTTGAGGAAATCAAAATTTACAAAAAAAAGATCAATAATTGTTTGTTTCTTCAAATATTTCTTATAGTGTAAGTTATTTAAACTGTTTTATTCTTTGCACTAATTCTTTTTCTTTAATTTTATAAAAAAATTTAATTTCTTGCTCAGTTACAAAGTTGCACAGCTCAACCCCTGTAATTGTCATCTAAAAAATTTCACTAAAGAGTCAAACAAAATCTTTTGATTCTCAACTTATTTGATACTTCTTATTATTTGTAGTGATATTTTCTGGATTTAAAACCTAATTACAGATTTTGCATCAGCTAATTGATTGATGACTAAGGCACTACCATTGCAACTGAAAACTTCTGTTACATCATCTACATTTTATATCACTTCTCTATATTGTTTCACAAGTTCCATTAATTTGAAAATTTCACCTTTTGCTTATGACATCCAAAAACCATCCAGTTTGAGGCTGTTATCATCATCATGACCACAAAATAGGGTAGCTTGCACAATTATTTTCACGCATTTCTAAAATATCTGCAGACACTTCCTCCCATAACCTCATAATGATCAGCAGATTTATGTTAAAAAATTTAAAAAATCTTGAAAGGTCTTACCACTGTTTAAAATTTTGCACAGATTTTAAAAAAGATAGTTTTTATCTGCACTTCATTGCATGTCGCACTCTGATATCCATTGGCTGAATATTGGATGTATAATTTGAAAGAAAAGAATGAAATGGGATAACCTTTTACTAAAACGTAAAATGAAACATGTTTGAAAAAATTTTATATAATCAGGACAATTTATACATTATTCATTAAACCACCAATCTTAAGTGTTGCCGAGCTTTGGATATGAAGAGATTTTGATACTTCTTATTATTTGTAGTGATATTTTCTGGATTTAAAACCTAATTACAGATTTTGCATCAGCTAATTGATTGATGACTAAGGCACTACCATTGCAACTGAAAACTTCTGTTACATCATCTACATTTTATATCACTTCTCTATATTGTTTCACAAGTTCCATTAATTTGAAAATTTCACCTTTTGCTTATGACATCCCAAACCATCCAGTTTGAGGCTGTTATCATCATCATGACCACAAAATATGGTAGCTTGCCACAAATTATTTCACGCATTTCTAAAAATATCTGCAGACACTTCCTCCCATAACCTCATAATGATCAGCAGATTTTATGTTAAAAAATTTAAAAAATTCTTGAAAGGTCTTACCACTGTTTAGAAAATTTTGCACAGATTTTAAAAAAGATAGTTTTTATCTGCACTTCATTGCATGTAGCACTCTGATATCCATTGGCTGAATATTGGATGTATAATTTGAAAGAAAAGAATGAAATGGAGATAACTTTTACTAAAACGTAAAATGAAACATGAGTTGAAAAATTTTATATAATCAGGACAATTTATACATTATTCATTAAACCACCAATCTTAAGTGTTGCCGAGCTTTGGATATGAAGAGATTTTGATACTTCTTATTATTTGTAGTGATATTTTCTGGATTTAAAACCTAATTACAGATTTTGCATCAGCTAATTGATTGATGACTAAGGCACTACCATTGCAACTGAAAACTTCTGTTACATCATCTACATTTTATATCACTTCTCTATATTGTTTCACAAGTTCCATTAATTTGAAAATTTCACCTTTGGTTGGCTAATGACCCGAAAACCTTCAAATTTGAGGCTAATCATCTTCATTGATCCTCAACATGAAATATGGTATCTGGCCATAAATAATGCCAAGCATTTTAAAAATATCTGCAGACACTTCCTCCCATAACCTCATAATGATCAGCAGATTTTATGTTAAAAATTTAAAAAATTCTTGAAAGGTCTTACCACTGTTTAGAAAATTTTGCACAGATTTTAAAAAAGATAGTTTTTATCTGCACTTCATTGCATGTAGCACTCTGATATCCATTGGCTGAATATTGGATGTATAATTTGAAAGAAAAGAATGAAATGGAGATAACTTTTACTAAAACGTAAAATGAAACATGAGTTGAAAAATTTTATATAATCAGGACAATTTATACATTATTCATTAAACCACCAATCTTAAGTGTTGCTGAGCTTTGGATATGAAGAGATTTTTCAAACAAATCATTCATTAATGTTTGTGTCATCCATGCACTTTTATTTGAATGATAGGTGACAGAGAAAAAATATTTACATTTTTATATGCCTGATTTCCTGTATTTTTCTGTTACAAAAAATTTACAGTTTTGCATTCTTGCAGCATTTGCACATGCCAGACGAGTTAGTCTTCCTCTAGAATCTTTGACAGCAGTTGGGACATTTGTTGCAGATGTCATCAAGATATCCCAGGGCACACATTATTACCAAAAAAGAGCTGTTTCATCAGTATTATAAATTTTTTGGAAGATAAATTTTCGTTATTAATGAGTTTGATGAATTCATCCATAAATTGCTCAGGTACTTTTATATCAGCTGAAGCATTTTCACTGGAAATTTTGAGCAGCCTTATGCAATGCCAATTTTAAAATTTGGTTAACTAACCTGTAAAATATGTGTACTCATATTTCTTTATGAAATATTTTGCCTTGAGCTATTAGCAGTGGACTCAAAAGTGGCTCACCCTTGCTGGACATGCCCATTCAATCATCATTTTATCATGACATATTCCTTGCATAAATTTGAGATGGCTTTATTCATTTTCTGTAGTAATTCAACTTTAGGTTTGACTGACATCCAAATATGCTTTGGCTATGCAGATCCTACTGAAGCTCCAAAATTAGAAACTCTCTTCAACATAATCAAAAATTTAAACTCTAATTTTGATAAGATAGCCATTGTAATATTAGACTGTAAAAAAAAAAAAAAAATAATAATTGCTAGATTAAATTAGAAAGTTAAAGAAAAGTGCAATTTGCTGTGTTAACTAAACTTCAAATCCTTCTCCTGCTGGCCAGACAGTATAGTGGTTGGGGAGCCTACTGCAGTACCAAAGAGCCCAGGTTCAAATCCTGGAGAAGGCATGGATGTTTGTAAATGTATAATGCCTTTGTGGCATGTCACACTCCAAATATATAGCGAGCTGAAAGTCCTCTCGTGTGGTTTGGTGGAAGCAGAGAGAGGTGAGAGACCCCACGGACCATCCTCTGGCGTGCTCTCCCTCAAAACTAGGATGGAAGTAGGAGTCCAACCTCCTTGAGGTTCTGGCAACCATTCTTCCATGAATTACATGGACAAGACAAGAACAATAACAAGATCCTTCTCCTTTGCCCACTGCTATGCCAGCAAAAGAAAACTAGTATGAGCAACATCCCATTCCAAACAAATACACATTGGAGCTTCACTTACTCTTTAGTTCAGACAGAAAAATGCTACCCCACCCCCACACTCATAATAACAGCAGGTATTTGAAAGTAACATACAGGTTAGTTGGCATCGGTTGGGAGAAAATTGCATTTATGGCACACTGCTTTTTATTTAGCATTATATTCTCTATTCCCAAACTTTATACGAAGAAAAAAAAAATATTGTTTATCCTGAGATCTAGATATTGAATGTCCGTTTACTATTATTTTTTTTTTTTACTTTGTGTTGTACTTAAAACACTTTTTTTTTTTTTTGGTTTTGTTTCTATGGTACCATACATACTTTTGATTACAATTAATATCATCCTGAAAAATATTACATATTGTGAAAATCTAGGCAACTCTGCTGACTTTTTCTTCTCTCATTTAATATGCAATTTTTTCTGATTATGATATCAACAAACTGATTAAAATCTCGAAGTAGCAATGCTTGTTTTCATAATTCATCAGCCAAATTAAAGCTTCATTACTTTTAATAGTGTACCTCTATAAAGTTTTGCAGATATTTTCATTTGCTAATTTAAATAAAAATCTTTTTATATTGTATCATGTGTGGAAAGCTCATTTTAATATAACATCAAAACTTTTCATGTCTGAAAAAGAGATACTAACAACACAATGAAGTGGCTTAGTTAATATTTAGTACTACACTTATTCTGTCTGTATCAAATATCAGAAAAAGGCCAAACAAAAACCTATATTTAACATTTTCATCAAAACTTTTCTGACATATTATTAAACAACTAAATAGCTAATATTTTTGCAATATGCAGTTTGCAAATGTCTTTGATTTTTATATTTACTGCAAATGCCCATTAAAAAAGATCAAGATTTATTTTTGTTCAGTAAATTAAAATGCTAAATGTCTACTGAATTATGACTTTAAAGTATCTCAATTTCATTCTCAGCCATGCTTATAATTTCTAGAAAAGATACTTAGTTCTATAAATGTAATACAGCTTTGAAAATTTGAAAGAAGTTCATAAATAAAGATTAGCTAGCATTAACTATATAGTATAACATAAAGTTCAAATAAGGAAAATTATCATACTAAGAAATAATAATAAATAGTACTAAATTTACTGATTAACAATGAATACTTTCTCTTTGTAGCTGTAATGTGACAGTGTACAATTTGCTTACTCTCTTAAACTGTGAGAAAGTAAGACTCTGAGAGGTAAGAAGAGCAAAGTAAGAGGCCTGCATAAAATATTTTATCGACAGCATGCAGTATCCACTGTCCTAGGCAAAAAGAAAGAGTATGTGGCAGCACACAGCAAGCACCTTTTTAATTTTAGTTCTATGCTCAATCATTCAATGCATAAATATACTTAATAGAGATTTTGATACTATTCCATTAGAGCGGCGTCAGTTAAAAAAACGTCGCTTTTTTTGCCATCAGTGCTTGCCAAGTGTAAAATTACGAAATAGTAATAGAGTTCAAAAGACTAACAAAATTATTTCCAAAAAAAGTAATTTTTTAAAATTTCTTAATTATTAAAAAAAGTTAATTTTTCTTTTTACTTTTTTAATCTACAGTATTCTATTCACAAAGAAGAAGTAATATAACAAAATGAAATTCAATCTAAACAAGTGGTATAAAATTACAAATATCATTCAATATTGCAGAAAATTTCAGTGTTTGAATATAATAGATACCACATAAGTTCTATCAAATATCGTGGCGAGCAGTGCCCCACTGATGTTAATTTCTCCATTTAGCACTGGCCCACAGCTTAGGTATGGCATCCAATCTTGAGGTCTACAAATTATAACTGTGATTCATAGTGAAATGTTCATACCCAGCATTTCTTAATTCTTCTTTCTTATATCCTTTCTAGCAGTCTGAAAATATAATGCTGCCATCTATGATGTTTTCTTGAATGGCAGTCATCAACGTTCCAGCAAAACGATCATTCCAGACAACATTCTTTGCTTTTCCCGGCATAAACCCCCAAATACCCACTGTTCCAGAAGAACATGTCCAACGTTGTTTTTTCTTTTTATGAAAAGCCTTTAAAATAGTTATTCCAATATACTGTCGTACTATGGCTGATTTCTAACTGAAGTTGGCAAAATCCAATCATGTCAATTCCTGACCCCCCCATATAGTAAAACGAATGGCACTGTTTTTCTGAAACTGAGGAAAGAAAGACATGAGCCTTCAAACCATGTTTTGGTTCTCAATCTTTTTTTTTTTTCATGGCAAGAACATAGATAACAAAGCCATATACGAGCTTTGTTTAAATCAAAAGTTAGGTCATCGTAAAATCATAAAATCGTAAATCAAAAGTAAGTTCATCGGACGACCTTTGAGATCAAAGTCTATTGCTATGAATTATTTCTTTGTCCTGAAAGAATCTTATGGTAGCTTCTTTGTCATTAGGTAACTGCAAAATTGTGTAATCCATCATATTAAAAAAATGTGAAATATGGCAAGCAAAAAAAAAAAAAAAAAAATGTAACAAGTGATAATATTTCAAATGAGAACTAGAAACCTCAAGCCACAAAATTTCAAACATAAATAAAAAATACTCAAAATAACTAGTGATAATATTTGAAACAAAAACTAGAAATCTCGAGCCACGACATTTCAAACGTTTAATTCCTGAACCACGATATTTGGCATGTTGTTGCAGCATTGTTTTCTTCTCATTTTTTTACTGACGCCGCTCAGAATAGTATCCAGATTTTACTATATGAATTGGTTAAAAAAAAGAGTAATTCCTTTTTTCCAATTTTAAGTTTATAGGCATACATTATATGCATCACAAGTTTTGAGATAATATCCCTGTTCAAAAACCAATATATGCATTATGCTTCCCTTTTTCTATATTCATTCAGTTTCAAACAAATCAAATAAATAGAAACAGGAAGAAGATTATGCAACAGACTGATAAATCCTATCTAAATAGGATATATAGGATTTATTATCATTTCTGAAGGTGGATTTAAAATTCAGTACATAAAATTAAAATAATCTACTGTATTAAAAATCTAAAATAAAATAATGTACTGAATAATCTATTACTTTTAAATTAAAATAATCTACTGAATTAAAAATCTTTAAAAGTATCAGAATACATACAAATGACACAGGACTCAAAATATTAAACTAAAATTTATTGAAATGAAACACAAAATATTAACACATAAAAAATTATGGATATTCCAACATGGTTACCATTATTATTTTATATTAATTATATTTGACTTCCTAATTCTAAGTATCATTATTTAAAGATATTACAAATAGTAGCAAGCTTGTGAAATGTTAGATAAAAGGAATTTATTAATTATCAGTTTTAATTATGATAAATAGATCTTTTTCTCTTGGAAGAATACACAGAATTTTAGAATAGGAATTTAACTGTAAATTTTGGTACAATCTTTCTGGTACACTAATTTATTAATCACAACTGAATATGAATTTTTAAAACATACGAAACTTACTTCAATAGCACCAAAACCTGCTCCATGTAAAGAAGGCAGGAAAGTTTCTTTCATAGTTTCTATATCAAGAAAATTCAAATAGTTGCCAGCAATAATTATAATGATAGGTTCATTTAAAACAGCTATGTTATGACATATTTCGCTTTGATATCCAAAGGAATACCTTTTTGCGTTAAGGATAGTTTCATAAAAAAATTTTCATTTAACTTTATTATAAAACAATATATATATATATATATATATGTATGTATGTGTGTAAGATAAAAAATATGTAAACTTCTGAATTTAATATTACTATTAGACAAAATAAAAGTACTGAGCAGACTGAAGTGAAAATATTTTAAAATCATTTGAAGTTAGCTCAGAACATTAGCATGAACATATTTATGGTTCTAACTACATTTAATATGCAACAGTGCTCTTCTGTTATCCACTTGCCATACTTTCTGGTGCCTGTGAAAGAGAAGTCAAACACATGTCCCGACACAACTGCTATTTAGGGACCAAACTGCTGATTTGCTTCTCCTTCACAATTCATTTCTTTCAAATTTGTTCGTTTATGTGTTCATATTTTGCATTTTACCACAATGGATTTGAAAATTTGGGAGTTACCAAGAGATGAACTAGCAGCAATTAAATTCAAGATAAAGATCTTATCTTACAAAGAAAGGTTGTGTTTATATAAGCATATGACATAAGTTAAATATTTTCCTATATTTGGCATGTTGTTGCAGCATATATAAAGCCTAAATGGTTGTTGCAGCATATATAAAGCCTAAATGGTTCTGCTAATTTCAGTCATACACAGAAGAGAAGGACATCTGAAAAGAAATATAATTTGAGAACTCGCATATTCCATTTCTTACTAGTCTATGATTTATTTATTTGTGGTGAGAACAACTGACTTCCATTGATTTTGTTTCTTTGTTTTTTTTCTTTTTTTGTGACAGCTTTCACTAAATCACAATATAATGGCGAACTGAAACAATTACCTCCAAGAAGTTGGTTGCAATCAGGTGAAATTTCATTCTAAAACTAAGATCAGTTGTGTATAAAAAAAATCATCAAAAGTTGGTTCAAAGGAAGGAAACATAACCTAGGTCAAGCATTTTCTTCACAGTGGTTTTCAGAGATTTCCTGGCAGTCTCATAATCATTATACTACAAAGTACGAAATCCAGACTCATTGGGACTTTGGTGATTTCAGATTTGATTTTTTTTTTTTTTTTTTTTTTTGGATATTAGATCATCAGTTTAAATCTAGTAAGAGCATTAGAATTATAAATTAAAATATGAAATGTAATTTATGAATAATGAATCTTATGATCAATGGTATCAAATTACCAACACGCTTATATTTGCCAAAAGCCTTTGTTAACCTTATTAAACATTTCTTTCAAATTTAAGTTTTCGTTTTGTGCTAATATTTTCTCTTTGATTTATAGACAAGGCATAATCTCTTGTTTAGTACATGTTGAAGTCCTGTACCTGCTGTTTCGAGAATTCCGAGATGAGAAGGCATTGTCATCACAATGAAACTTCTTTTATATCACTTCATTATACCGTTTCTCCACATTTCTTCAGCAAATCCATTAAATGGAAATTTCACCTTTGTTTTGGATTCCAAACTTTTAAAGTTGGCAGTTATCATCATCAAATTTAGCTATCCTATTCTACATATTTGGGCTATGTCATCATGAGTTGGCGACTAAGACAAGTTGTTTCGTTAATTTTAATTGCTTTCTATCGTGCACTGAGACAATTAAGCCTGAATTGTATTAGCTATTTATAACTTATGTCTATTCTTGCACATGCTTAAGGCTTATCAGAGTTTTGAAAATAAATTCCCACATACTAAGCCTTATTAGGGTCCGGCGCTAGAACCTACAGCTTATGCAGTCTCTGTGGGTCCTAATTCTGGCGATGGTGGGCCATACAGCCGTGGCGGCCCTGGTTTTATTGAATAACAAATCAGTTATTCTTTTTCAATAGCCCAAATAACCTCTGGGTCTATGAGTATCATCACAATATCTAGTTTTAGCATATGGAAAGAAATTTTGGTAAATTTTCCTCGTCAAAACGTTTTTAGGAATTTAACTAATCTCGTAATCATCGTCAACTAATGTCAACATAAAAGATTTACCATACTCCTTTATTATCATTCAACATAAAAAATTGTTTAGGCATTGCTACTTTCTCAAGTTGCCATGTTTTGAAACATGCATTAAGAAGGAATACATAATAATGATTCACCAGGTGGCGTCAGTCAACGATGTATCTATGTGGAATGTTTCGGTTTGAGATGGCGCCAAGCGATACGAGCAAAGGAGCTAAATTACTGATTATACAATTTATACTAAAATGATTGTATCTTAAATAGCAAGGTTTTAAGACCAATACCACGCCGAATAATACTAATCAAGTCAACAACAAAATCAGGTTATATTACAAATTTTCACAGGACTAGTTTCGATGTTTTACCAACCATCATCTTCGCTGCAAAACCGCAATGACAAGATGGAATAATATTATATATTCAATTTTCACAGACTATTTGATGGTTTTAACGAACATCATCTCAGCTGCAAAACGCAATAACAGATAGAATATGATTCATCTAGATCGAAACTAGTCCTGTGAAAATTTTGTGAATATAACGCTGATTTTTGTTGTTTGACTTCTGAATTAGCAAGGTATTTTATTTAGTGTTTTAGTGAAATTAAGAATCAGGACTCTCCTGATGTTTTGTTATGCATGGAGGGTGGGAATTAAATGCTCATGTGTAAAGCCTACGAGAAAAACATTGGTGGTTTTGAAGTCCGGATTTGAGCTCATTCGGGATAATGGAAGTTCAGATTTCAGACTTTGTACTGTACTATTTTTGCTTCATTGACTGTTTTAAGGCTCCATGTTTTCTCCTCACACAATTTTCAGATACTAATTGGCAGAAAACCGACGTGGCTGCTGCTGACTGGCCAATAACATGGTTTCTGCTGATTGGCCACTGACGTGTATATTTCAGGTCAACCGAAGTTGAGAACACTGGATACAGTAGAAAGTATATGCGTCCGCAGTAGAATATAGTTCCACCATTTTAAAAAGTAATATTGTAAAAATTACACTGTGAAATATGAATGCTGTTGAACAAAGAGAACGGAAGGAAAAAATGTGTGAAACGATAGGTTACTTTGATTCCAGCTTTTTGTTTCAAAATTTGCTAAATCTGTCATCATAATACCATGAAGACTCCCTTTTTTTGGCATATTGACGAAACTGCAAATTCCAATACCCCGACTCATACCACTCTTACGGAAAAGCAATTAAAGCTTCTTTCATTCCTGACCAGGAGAGAAAAAGCAGTTGTTGTATCTGCTTCATCTTCGACTATGTTATAATTTTTCAACCTCATAAACTGAAAACATAGCCGCTAGATTATCGTATGAAGGCTTTGTCAATATGAGAGCATTTCTTATAATATGATAACGATATTGTTACTTATATAAATAGCAGACTGATACCTCAGTTAAAAAAAGGGCTCTTTTCCGGGCCACAATTAAAATACAAGGCCGTTTTCAGGCCAATAAAATAAAAAAAGCAGAACTAAAACGTTATAAATAACTTAAAAACAAAGCTAACAAATTCCTTAGAATATAATAGGAGATGTCCACATAGCCGAGTGGTTAAATCGCTGATACTGGTAGTTTGACATCGTGAACCCAATGAACAACTGTATTAGGGTCGGGTTTGGTCGTTTTCCCATGTGTAACATGAATATGAGCTTGTTTCCTTTAGAAAGTCCTCCACGAATGCATCTCACCCCTTAGTTGAATAGCTCTTGTGTGCTTTGCTATATTCAAATCACTTAACTTATCCAATACAGAAGTAGTGATCAATTAAGTTAACTATGGTAAAAGGAACAAGGGTTTCCGTCTAAAGGAAGAGATGTCATTGTGGGGACTTTATAAGGATAAAGGACTTCTTTTATATAGCATACTGAGGGACTCCTATGCAGTTCAGAGCTTACAGTCATTACAAACAAACTCGCTGCATACTACCAGTGTTTCACAGCTTAAGCAACTTTAGCATTAATACACTTGATTTGCAGATGATTCCATCTAAGGAAAGGAATAGCCAGATTTTTCCATATGATACGCTTGTTGTTTTTATACCTCGAAGGAAATGCATTGTTTTTACCTAGCTTATACAGTCAAACAAGACAAAATATAATTCACAGATTCTCAGAGAGCTGAATCAGTCTGCATTTTATAAATTGAGAGATGTAAAAGCAACATATTCTCCTTCGCGAAGCAAAAAACGCACCTTTCACGCCACATCGCGCATAGACGTTTCATTCTTCAAAAGCATATAAACTAATTTATATTTAAAATACAAGCAAACTATCATTTATTACGGCAAATGTCTTAAAAGTAGTAAATGCACTGAGTCTTTCAGATTTTCTTTTTTTTTTTTTTTTTTTTTTTTTTATTTGTAACTAATATAAGACATTTATAATGTTATAATTGTAATTTATAGTGAATCAATGGTATACATTAATGTTGTATAAGATCATTTGTTTCTATTTTTATTTTGTTCACATTTTAAAGTTTTAATATTTTTCTAATACTTGACATTTTTATGCTCTTTTAGTAGTCTGCAATTTGAAGATCTCATTTCATCTTTTTATTCATTTAATTTTTGATTTTAAACAGTAATCAGAAAGATAGGATAAAACGTACTGAAGGAGGGTGATTATCTGGGCCTGACTGGGAAGTGTATGTGTCTTTGGAGACAATTAATACAATTTTTAAAATGTCTGCTATAAAACATTCTCAGAGTTTTTTAAACAATCACAAATTAAAATCAAAGTAACATCTTTAAAAAATAAAAATAAAAAATTTTCCCCTTGTTCACTGTTTTGGTAGCAACATGCTGCGTAAACTCTTAGGAATTAAGAGAAAATATCTTACTACCAGATTTTTCAAAATTTATATATTTTATTTTTAACTAAGCAAACGCTCTTGGGAAAAAAATTTGACTCAAACTGCAAGCAATACAATGTTAGCTCTTTTCAAGTTTTAAGTAACGATTCAGGTTTTTAAATGTCATCAAATTTATGTACGTCACATTTAGATAATAGTGAAATATTTCAAATAAATTAAGACAATGAATAACATGTACTACATTTTACGCTACAACGAACTATCAATTTCAACTGCAGCTTCACTGCATAAAAAGATTGTTATTTAAATACACCGGATTTGGCAAGAAGTCACCAAATGAGCGAATTGGAGGAATTGAATATCCGCGGGCAGTTTACTGTATATGGATAACTTGAAGAAAAGAGTGAAAAGCTGTGAAAAGGTCGTTTTAGCCTTGTATGTGTCCTCAGGTTAGCTTGTCGCGAAGTATAGAAAATGTGCAACTATGGAGTTGGTTACTCTCTATGTGATATTATTTTAATGCAAAATTAAGAATCAGGACTCTCCAGATGTTTTTCTTTGCATGGAGGGGGGGGAGAATCAAATATGCATGCGTAAAGCCTACGAGAAAAACGTTGCTGGTTTTGAGGTCCGGATTTTTCTTCCGGATAATGGACATCCAGATTTCGGACTTTGTACTGTACTATTTTGGCTTCATCGACTGTTTTAAGGCTCCATGTTTTTTCCTCATGCAATTTTCAGATACCAATTGGCAGAAAACTGACGTGGCTGGCTGCTGACTGGCCAATGACGTGGTTTCTGCTGATTGACCACTGATGTGTTGTAGAAAATGTATAACTATGGAGTCTACTCTCCATGTGATTTTATTTTAACATAAAAGGATGCTCCTGCAGCCTAGTTAGTTTTTTAGAGGAATGAAAATAAACATTAGTTGTTGCTTTTAGTAATATCCTTGTTTTGTTATTTCTGTTAACAGAATTTCAACATATTTCCAAGTTCCCCCCCCCCACTTAGATTCCAAATCGCTCTGTTAAGGTTTAATTAATGCAACAGACAATAATATTCTCAATTACAAATCATATAAGTTGAAAGCTTCAGGATAGAAACAATGAATAGAAACACTTATCTCCAGGATAGAAACACTTAACAATGAATTATTTATTTAATTTTACTGACCCAATCACAGATTGCTATACCCAATCAAGTGAATGTTTTTGGGGTAGCACTGAATGGTGGAGCTAATGCCAAAGAAGCACTGCTGTCTACATTTTGACTCCCACCTATCGTGATTTATGTGGCCCATACCAGTAGATATTTATAAATTTATGTCTGCCATCCAGTGTTGCCATTCATTTCAGCTTTTATTATTATTTTTAAATTAAGAGAGAAGCAAATTCTTTATAATAATAAAGGCTATTGTAATAATGTTATGTAAATGCAATGTACGAAACAAAACTATTGCCATCTAATAAACTATACTTATAACTAGAAATTATTTACAATTAAAAACTGACCTAAATGCATGGTAGATGCATAATGGAAAAGTATACTTTCCCAGGAAACATATTTAATTTCGGATCTTTAGTTTAAAAACAATTTCTTTTTTCCTCTTTTTCAATTGGCATTATTCAATGACAAATTCTGATACTTTGTAAAAAAAAAAGTGGATTCCCACATTCCTTATCTCATGTTTTGAATTGTTCTCACAATATTCTGCTACACAGGGATATACAGGTTTGGTGACTGAAAGTTATTGCATGATAATCTGAAAATCTGCATTGACTAACAAAACAAACTGAATTTACAGTTCATTTATAATGCGGCCAAATTGCTGACTGGAGCTCTGGGCCATGGAGGAGCCAATCACAAAGTGCTTGAACCCCTCCCACAGCTAAGAAAGCATGCATCGATTGCTATGCGATGTTAAGGGTGATGGCATTAAATATCCGTAAAATTTTCATTGCTCGAGTGAACTCATTCATAGGAAAATCAAAATGCTATATATTCCTGAGATATCACAGGTGGGGTCGTTAAGCAGTTAAACACATAAACTTTTATATACATATATAAGTTTTCTCTGGTGGCATTCAAAATTTATGTTAAAATATTTTCTTTTCATTAAAAATATTAAACCATATTTCCATAATTTATCGATATGTACATTCTCTTCACCCTAATAAAACTTGAATTATTATCAAACTTTTCTGTTGATTTTCACAGATTACAATACAGCTGGCTCCATGTTCTTTATTGCCTTTTGCCCTTGAGTACTATAAGCATATCACAGGTTGTTTTCCTATTTTAGATTTATAATTAGAATATGTCTCTTTAAAAACCTTCGAGAGACTCTGTGGTGGTGCCAATTATATCAAAAACATGACCTGAGGGTAAATAGCTCTTCTCATGTATGCTGTGATCTGTTTTTGCTTAAAAAAACATCAGAGAATTGCACAAATTCAGCATCGTGAGCTTTAGCACTCTGCATATTTATACATAATTTGATGCTCTCTGATTAATGTCCGATCCTCAGAAAAATCAATGGACAACACACTATGTTGCCAAAATAGGGAACCTAGAATTTTATGAAAGAGTACTCATCTGGTATCCTAAGATATATATACATTATGCCAATGCAAAATTCGACGGTCTTCCAACAAATTTCTGAAAATGAAATTCAATGGTCTTCTTTAAGGCTGTTGCTTATCAAGTATTCTTAGGTGTCTGTGATAACAACTTTTTCTGAATTTGTGTAGTTCTCTGTATTTTAAGTGGTAATAGCTTTGTTCTAAATTTGTGAAATTCTCTGATGTTTCTTTAAGTTAAAACAGGTCAATCTGTACATGGCAGAAAAGCAGGAAAATTGTTTATCAACTCTAATTAGATGACTGTGATAATAGGTTTCCTAAATTTGTGCAATTCTCTGGGTTTTTTTCAAGTTAAAACATCAATATGTACATGGAAGAGAAGAGCAAAAAGGTAAGCATTTTATTATAGATGTTTTGTGTATTTTTAATTTATTTAATTTGTTGTTGTTTTATGTCATTTTCAACGTTTCATCATGGATGTGTCTTGCATTTTAAATTTCACTAATTTGTTGTTCTTTTATGGAATTTTTATTGTGGTGCCATTTTTTAAAAGGCTATCGTTTTTCATGTCTAATGTTGGCTGGCAAGAAATTAGTAGCCAATGATTGGCAACTTTGCAGGAGGACTAGTTGCAAAGGGTAGTTCAAGACTACCTATAATATACTATGTGATATATTACTGTTATTATAATTTTTTTTTCACAAAGCTTTATGTATCATTACAGTTGCTACCATTTAGTTATATCTTGGGCCAGTGTTTATATTTGGTGTTAATTGTTGTCCTGTAAACAGAAAAGTAAAAATAATTTGTCAAGTTAAAACAGGACAGGCTTCTTAGAGACAGGAGCCTTATGTTAAATTTGCTAAAAATATGTACAGCTCTCCTCTAAAATTAATAATAGTTTAAGATAAGTTTTGCTTAGTTCAAACAATCACCCAAAAATATCAATAAGAAACTGTTTACAAAACACATAAGTAGAAGGATACGATAATCGTATAGAATTTTCATTAAATATTCTTCTCCTTGATTTTTTTAAATGAACATCAGGTTTACAAACTGGTTTAACTTTCAAATGACTAAAAGCATCCATATCCTTAATTCTCTATTCTAAAATAAACAATACACAATAATTAAAATTATATACTTCACAAAAGGATGATACATTACATATTTAAGAAAATGCAAATTTAAAGCCAAGCAAAACTCAAATTTAGATCAATAAAACTAAAGCTTGAAGTTTATAGACTAAAGACAGAATTTTGGTTAATTTTATACTTAAAAAAGAGGATATTTAAATATAAATAAAACAAAGACCACTTCATCACATATGCAAATGGCTAAAAATGATAAAAATAAAACTTCTAAAAAAAGGTCTTTAATTAAAAGCATTTTTTTTTTTTTGTTGTTATTCAATTAAAGCTTTTGCTAATTAAAAATGAAATGTAAAAACATGTTTTTAAATACCAGTTTCCTGTAAATTTATTTTACCCTGTATTTTAAATCTTGATTGTAAAAAAGAGAATTTAATTTTTCTTCGTACTATTAAATTATGGCTAAAATTATTTGCATGCTAAGAGGATTAAGAAAACATTTCAAGATAAAATCAGAAGAAAGAGCACGTGAAAAAAAAGTAGTGTGATAGACTGTCAATGTGTGAATCAGAGAAATACTTTTTTAAATATTTATAGACCCTTCCACAGAAGAAACCAACTCCAAAACTTTCCTATCTAAAAGTTAAAATAATGGTTATATTGTGGTGATGGTTTATGCCACAATACTCCAAATTTGCCAGAAGGTTCATCAAGAAAAGCAAAGACCATAAAATTAAATTTACTTAAAACTAAAAGATAAAATATGAAATTAAATACATGATTATAAGCTGACATCAAATGTTGACCATGAACAAGTAAGAACAATGAAGTATAAGTGCAAAGTGTGTCAAAGTTCGCGAAAAGTTAAAAGTTTTTATACTCACACTATAACAAGTGCGCATGGGTACAGCTCAGCAAACATGGATATTGCGTGCAGATGCCAAAAATACAAATATTCTCGTCAGAATGCAAATACTCTGCCACAGTGCCAAAAGCACGAGGGATCAGAGATACCTAGGGTTAAACTTGACTCTTCTACTGGAAGGAGTAGTCGGCACTAGGGGTATAGTGTCATTCGGTTTTATTGCAGGAGTCTGCTCAGGAACAGGAACCTATGCCACAGTATCTAAAACTAAAAATGCTGGTTTCAAGTGATCAATGCTGATCACAGATTTTTTTCCTTTTAGTTCTTTTTATTACTTTAAATGCTCCATCATACGAACGAGTCGGTAGTGATTTTAGTACATCATATCTCACAAACATGTGAATGATTCTGAAGATGGATGCATGAAATACTTATTATTAACATGGGCTGATGTACACTGCACAAAAAAAAAGGGGGGGGCAGTTCTATATCTCCCATCCTACTGAGCCAATTGACAAAATTCAAATTGCGTTTTTCATCTCTCGAAAGTGCGACTTAGGATATATATTAGATTTATATACAACATTGTTCTAACATAGGTATTTTGACACAAAATTGGACTTCTTCTGAATAACATACCAATTGCTTTTCATATTTTGGTTCTCTGACTCAAATTATGTCTAGATATTAAATTTTGTAAAAATAGGTGCAAAATTTACCAAGAAATTCAAAAATTTATCTTGGCACAATTTTTTCGCTAAGAATAATTCACTTGGCAAACTTTTTAATATGTGGCAACCAATTTTCCTTTCCCTTCCATTATGCCGGAGCGGAAGAAAGGCACCTCGTTCCTACCATTTTACATTGTGCATGAGCGGAAAAAAAGGCACATCGATGCTACTTCCAAATAATTTTAGCAAAGTGTCTAAACAACATTTGATATTTTATCGCTTTCAACAAATATGCCAAATTTCAAAACGCCTCAATATATAAATTCACATACATCTTCGGAAATTTTGTATAAAAAACCAAAATTTTTGCAGGTATGCTTAAAAAATGGTCTATTTTAAGGCTGATCATAAAAATTTTATAGATTATAATTTAAAAATTTTTTGAAAAATTTATAAAAAGTATTTAAAAATAAAATTTTAAAAATAAATCTAAAAAAGATGAGTGAATTTGTTTTTTATTTTTTTTTTGGAATGAAACCTAAATTTTTGAAATGTGAGAGGAGAATCAAATTAGTTTATTTAAAAAAGACAGATTAATAAATATATATACCAAACTCAATTAACATTGAGGAGCTAAAATTTTGAGAGCTAATTTTTTATAAACTATTCGTGCGATTTTTTGCAAAACTTGGTAGTTTGGCATAGAATCGTAATATGGAGAAAAAATTTGTATTTCAGAAAAAGTCAGATTTTGTATCAAAATACTATATTAGAGCAATGCTATATATAAATCTAATACATATCCTAAGGTGCTATATTATAAACAAACTACTATATTATAAAATTAAATTATATCATTTATTAAAATTGGAACACATATGACTTGCATGTTTATGCACAATGTACATTCACTTGTAAAATGCATTAGAGCTGCTAGTAGATAGGTGGCAAAATCGCTGAACACTGGTAGTTCAACATGGGTTCGATTCCAGACGAATAGGCCAGCTACATGAGCATTTTTATTGGGTTTTCCTATGTGTAACAGGGATACGAGCCAATTTCTCTTAGAAAATTCTCCATGAAGGCATACTTTCCCTTAGGCAGATAGCCTTTACATACTTTGCAAGGTAAAATAAAAAAAGCCATCTAAAATGTATAACTCTTAGTTAGTGTTGCAGCTTCATTTTCTATTCCAAGCAATAGGAGCATAACTATATCTTGCAATATAAATGCTGCTTTAGCTTAACGCCTTTCAATCAGATGATATTAAATGCTATTGTATGATTTTAGCCACTCCTGTTCTGTTTAATCTTAAGTTTCATAGTTCTCTACAGGAAGGAGAAAAACAAACACCAATGGGAGACCACACCAGCTTTTTCATGACTATTCCACTACTTGCAGATTAAAACAGTAAAACACTTAGTTTTTTCCCAACCAGATTTTGAAGAAAAATTAAACTGTGCGTTAAATGAAGTTGAAGTGAATAAAAACAGCATAGAAACTCATTCTGAAGAAAGAAGTCCAGGCTATAGCAGCAATCACAACTAACTGATTTGTAATCAATCCTGATTTACCTTTCATTACAGCAAAACCCAGAAAAGTTATGAGAAAGCTTCATCACACCTCTGGGAACAGTCTAGGGTTCCATAGTTTAATTATTCAGTGACTGTGCAGCTGGAATAGTCTGAGATAAATAATGATAATAAAGAAAGCATTCACATTTATCATTCAGATTCATGACTTGAAAAAAAAAAAGCATATATTGGAAACAAATGTAACTAATTTGCTGAACACCCTTCTTATAGCATTGACATCTATTTACTAATAACCTACCTTCCTGTAACTGAAAGAAAATTATATTCTATCTCAGAGGTTCTCAACCTCAGGGAAAATTCCTTCTAGAAGGGAGTTTCATAGTTTCAGGGGGTGGGGAATGTAGTCAGCTTTTTATTTACCAGTTTAGTTTTAGTTTATGAATATAAAAAACTACATTTATTCAAGTTTTGGTATTTATCAACATTTTCTATACTTTTTCTTCTTTAATTTATAAAATACATGTAAAAATAATCTAAATTTAAATAAACAGATGTTTATTTTTTGAGTTTCAGAAAGGAAAGAGGGAATGGTTAACTAGCAATGGTAAAAAGGATGCAAGGAACAAAAAATGTTGAGAACTACTGTTCTGTATAATTCATTCAAGACAAGTTTTCTAACCTAGATTCAATTTCATAAAAGGCTTTAGCCTTTTAACCTAGATTCAGTTTTATAAAAGGCTTTTATAAAACTGAATCTAGGTCAGATTAATATAAAAATTGAATTATAAAAGGCTTAGCCTTTTATAAGAATCGTTAGCTTAATCATACTTGATAATTCTATTTAAGACTTTATTCTGAGTCATTAGCCTTGTCATACTTGCAAACAGCAGAAGTATGCACTGTTGTTCATGCATGCAATCATAATGAAATGAAAGAATGAAAAGTATATACTATATATAACAAATATTCTCTCATTCAAGCTAATTTAAATTCAAATTCTAAGGTAAATCCTAGGAGAGCCCACTCCCTTGGCGACAAACTGGGAAAGTGCAGAATCACCCACTGCTTTGTGCGTTTCTCAAAAATCACCAACACGGAAAATAACAAGTCAAAGAATCACACGAACTCGGTATCCATGTACACATCAACCTACTATTTTCACTTAAAAAAAAACATCAGAGAATTGCATAAACTTGGCATTACGCACTCCCTCAACTTTGTCCATGTACACATCGATATGTGCCATATAAATGGGCAATTCTACACATTACCTTTAGTTCAAAGATTTATGCAGTTTGACTATCTAGTGTATCAAAGTAAAATTATCAAGATTGGTACAATTATTGCCAACCAAAATCATTCACACCATCATGGAAAGGGTGTGAGCTCTGCTAGGATCCAACCAAATTAGCAGTAAACTAAAGAAATTAAAAAATATATATATAATGTATATATATTACAGAAATTAAAATGTATGAATGCTCAGTATGAACTCGAAATTAAAAACACACAAAATGAGCAATTATAAAAATAATGAAAACAAAGAGTAATTTTTTTCTGCCACTATTTTGAATGAATTATTTGAAAAGTTGTCATTCTCAATTCTATTTACAGATTTTATGTAAAATAACATAGTATGTAGCAATGAGTCATTCATAAGAAAAACCTAAAAACTATATGATAAATTGTCTTCAGGTACAAAAAGCAATGATTTACGGTGCATTTGAAAATAAACCATTCAACTGTTTGCTTACGAAACACTTGAGATGAACTTCAGAAAACTTACTTCACATTATTTATACTTATCAAAGAAATTTTGTGAATTTTTAAATAACCACACACTACTATATTCTAGATATTTCACGGTACCAGTTAAACGTAAAAGGTCAAAACGATCATTGTTTGCATATTATCGGAGATGCATGTATCAACTATTAAAAAATTACAACTTGTATCAAGGATCTTAAGTATTTGTAATGCTATTGATATTTTTCATTTCTGAAAAAATGATTGGATATCGGATTTCATTCTATATATATGGTAATTATTTTCTTAAATAAAACGTAAATCACCTATTTCTTAAAGTTACATAATCACAAATGCTAAATTTTTTAAATCTATTCATTTCTTTTTTTTTTTTTTTTTTGAGAAATGCATTAATAGTTTTTAATTCACTGATATTAAATAATTGATGAACGCAAAACCAGAATATTTGTTTTTTTTTTTATAATGAAATCACATTACATTCTTAAAGTGCCTTTAGAGCAGTATTAACAAACATCACGCCTGTAAATCTTCGAAATAATTTAATTTTGAAAGAAGCGCAAAGTAACAACGCTACGGTTAAAACTTGCTTATGAAACCTCGGAAATTTGTTGGAAAACTCGGAAATGTGTTGTACCAAAAATACGAATAAAAGCGAAGGTGTAAAAAAAAAAAACCACCTTAATTATTATAGACATGCACGTTTCAAACAAGGAATTCCTTTTTGAAAATTAAAATACATATGTCATTTAATAATTAAAATTCCTTGTTGACAAAGATATTTGTTTAAATGTTTTATTGTTAGAAATTTTAAATTTGATTTGAATAATGTTTGTGAAGTTGTATTTTCTACCTGTAATTTTGAACGTGAAAGTGATAAATGATATTGTTGTCATAAATAAGAAGAAGCGGATCTTTTCTTGTTAACTGTCTGCAATATTTACTGATTTCTCATTGGCTGTTGTATTGCATCTTTGTTGTCTCTTCTCAGCTGTTTTCTGTTCATAAATGTGTATTTGTGTTTTACAAACCTCTGTAAAGAAATTTACAAAATGACATGAAGTGAGCGTATTTGAAAACATATGTAACAAATGCACCACAAATGGTGCAAAATTTCCGTTTTGTGTGAACTGAGTATATTGGTTCTTTGTCCTGTTTTTACTTTCCCTTAGTCTGTTGTTTTTTATTCTATTGTTGCAATGACAATGCTGAAAGTTCCTTTGCCGTAAGTTGTATTTTTTTACTAAACCCTTTATGCTGTGATCATCCTTATAGAAATATGGGAAATTGTCTGAAATCTGTTTCTACTGATGACATATCTTTGTTACGTGAAAACCAGAGTGCTAGAGAATCATCCTCTGATCAATTAGGACCACCACCTCCTTATCAGGTATACTTTTTGATTTTGTAATTCAGATATGTCTTTTAGATACATAATTTTTTTTTTATTTATTTATTTATTTATTTTTTTTTGTGTTTTTCATTTGTTTGTGTTTTTTTCATTTTGGCTGCCTGTAAATCATAGATTACACCAACGGAGCTGATTGCATGTTTCAATCTTTTCCATTCGTATTTTATAAATTTTACTCTTTTGTGAAATAATGTAAAAGAAAATATGAAGATTATTGCTTGTAATTTATATTGTAACGTCTTATCTAGCTATTGCATATATTTATATAATTCATCAATGTGCATGTTGTGGATGCTGTCTAAAAAAGTAGAAGTTATTTATGTATTTTATCTGCAAAATTCTGATTGCCTTCATTTGTTTTAATAAGTAGATTGGGAAGATAGCATAAGCATTTTCAGTATACGGGAAAACGTAGAAAGTCTAGTTTAGCCTAAAATATAAAACTTGAGCAATTTCAAGGAAAAGACAAAAACAAAAAACTATGATTTTCTTTCATGTTAAAAATTATATAATAGAGGTATTTTAATAAAGAACCTAGAATCTGAAGAACATAATGATATGCGAAATATTAATTTTTGTTGCCTGTTAATCATATTCCTGATGTATAGTTTCATTCATTTTTTACAGAATTTTTTTTTATTATTTTGATTGACCTGTAATGGGAATATGGCCCAGCCTTAGATGTTAGAACACTTGCATTTTTGAAGATGATATACTGTAAATAATAAAGTTTTGTCATTAAATATGACGTCAACGTCATATTTGTGTTGTTGAAATGTGTTGTACAGTATAAATAATTAAATAGTCTATTACTGCCTCCTGAAATAAAACTAAGGAAATATGTTTTCCTCTGATAATTTGATATATTTTTTAATGTAAGGCTTCACTTTAAAATGAGTATAATTTTCTAAAATTCATTGGAAAATATTGTATATGAAATACATTATATTTAATATTTTAAAATGAGCATAATTTTCTAAAAAGTATAGGAAAGTGGGTACTTTTCCGTTTCGCCGGTGCAAATCTCGGCAAGCAGACTTGTTGGCGACAGCATACACTATACACATAAAAAATGTTAACAAATGTTAATGCTAAGAATTTTTATTTGAGATAACATTTAATATCTTTGAAAATTCTGTAACAAGCCAAATAATAAAGACTTAAATTTAAGAGGAACTACTATGATATGCACCCCAAGTTGCCAAATTTTCGCCAAACATTTTGGCCGAGAAACTCCACACTGCCATTTTGCTATCTAAATTTTTGTCTACATTTCGAACTTTAACAGACACCACTCAAATGTCTCAAAACACGTTTTTCGAGATGACAAAAATCAAGTTTGAACACACCATTTAAGCTAAAAATCCGAAACAAAAACAAAAAAAATTTAGATAGCAAAACCCCGTTAAAGTTTCTAACCAAAAATATTTGACACGGTCCATATACACAGCGATATGTTTAACTAAAAAAAAATCGACGAATGGCAAATTAGTCAACGAACGAATCTATACTATTGCACACTCACTTAATAAATTAACATAACAACAATAAACTTCAAAGAATTCCATGTACACAGCTCCTGTTTAAACTAAAAACAAAAACAGCGACGAATTGCACAATTGGGCAACAAACGAATCTACGAACCACGCCCCACCCCAACCTCGCTTTAAATAAATAACATAACAATAAATTTCAGAATTTAAAACCATGGTATTACAGGCGTCTATTTCAACTTTAAAAAACATATATGAATTGCACATTTAGACGGTACGCAATAATCAACAAAATAACTAAAATTTCAAACAATTAAACAAACAACAATAACGACGAATCATACTAAAGAACCATGAACTAGCATCTACAAAATAAGACAAGATAAAATAAATGCACTTACCCATAATGCGTTGAATAGCGCTAAAATTTCATACGCCTTACCATGCCGCCACGTAATCCTACTATTACATGAAGCCAGACAATATCAGAAAGTATACTCTGTTCACAATAAATAAAAATCACAAATCCATACTTCGATCATGCACTGCCATTAAAAATAACCTCCCAGACCTCTTTCCACACATTCAAATACACCATACCCTCAACAAGATGGCCCGACGATATGCTTTTGCCAAAGTTCAAAACAACTTCCACCATTTATCTTTTCCCCTAGCTTTTAGACACAAAGCATGATGCGAAACCAACAATCAGTGAAATATTTTCAACGTCAACGGGTTGCCATACAACACGGCAAATCGCCCAAAAAACCAACGCAGAACAATATTGCGGAATTTTAGTGAAAGTAGGGGTTTGTAGATAGAATGTACCATTAAGAATTTACTATACATCCAAAACTGGAACATCTCAAACCTGGACCCTTCATGGTTTCAACTCTGATTCACCAATTGTATCATGTGACCCCCCAAGTGATCTATCTCAAGTAAACTACGATACAAAAAAAATAATTCTCTCGTAATTATTACATTAATTTCAGTTAAATCTTAATAAAGAAATAACAAGTTTAAATGCAAGAATTATTTCAATTCGTTACGATGCGTACTCAGAAATTATGTAAAACCACAGTGCTTTACTTTGCTGGTGCATTCTCATTAGAATTGATGAATTTAACGTTTGATTTTGCCTTTTCCATATTTTTGCCTTCGGGTGAGCGGTATGATTGCATTCTAATGGACTTAATTACTGTGAAATGTCTTAGGTAATAAAATTTAACTATCTTGTAAAAATTCTATGTAATTGTATGCTAGTATTGAAAGAAACAATCAATCTGATAAGAAATGGCTGCGAGTTGTTTTGAAAATGAGGCGTAAAAGGTTAAGATATTCCGTTTGGCCATTATTGCCAGTTGTACCATTATTGCCGATTTTATCGTTTGCGCCAGCAAAACGGAAAAGTGTAGTAAATAAAATTTTGTTTTTCATTATTTTGTGTTTAGTAATTTATTAATCCAGACATAAAATACCCAGTTATCTATCAAATCTATAGTAGAAATGAAGGAACTTAAAAAAATTCAGTGAAGAAAACCTTTTAAAAACTTTACGATCAGTGATTTTTACTACCTAGTTTACATTTCGCCTTTTAATTATGTCTAACAGCATATAATGTCTTCAAATAGTAGGTTTAAAATAAGACTTTGACTATCTGATAAGTAATGAAAGCTGTTTTAATCAGATATTTTAATAAAATATATCTTAAAATGTAACAAAGCTAAAATTCCTATTTTTTATTGCCTTTATAATTATTTCTGACTGAGAAGCTTCAGGATAAGTTCAAAATATAAAATGTAAGTATAATTTTATTATAAAATATCAATATTAATGTTTTTTCAGGAATTTGCTATAAAAATAAAAGTTGGCAATGTACCTAATATAAATTTTTTCAATAGAAATTTGGCTAATCTTTGGAATATGCTAACAGGTAGTTTGGTGACATTTTGGTAAGGCGATAAAGGTTACTAGCTTGGACTTTAGCAGTGTACATGGATAAAGTCCAGAGTGTGTGCAGTGTCTTTTTTGTGCAAATCTGGGATGTTTTTTTAAGTGAAAATAGGCTGACGTGTACATGGATGATACTGTGTATGTGCAATTCTTAAAAACGCGGCAAGCAGTGGGTGATTCTGCGCTTTGACCCAATTTCGTACCTAATCTAATGTTATTTTTAAACACTTGTTAGGTAGAGAATCATACCCTGGCCAAAGATAATACATTGATTAAAATTGGCCATTACCACAGTTTTGTTCTTTGGGTGGTTGTGGTTAGTTTTCCTATCCGATCTAAACAATAAATGATGTATAGTACAAAGTCCAAAATCTGGACGTCCATTGTCCAGAATGATCTAAAATCTGGACCTCAAAATCACTAAAATTGTTTTTCTCGTAGGCTTTACGTACACACATTTGATTCCTCCCTCCGCATGTAATAAAACATCTGGAGAGTCCCGATTCTTAATTTCACTTCGACACTAAAATAAAATACCTTGTTATTGAAGAAACAATCATTTCAGCATAAATTTGTGCAATCAGTAATTGGCTCCGTTGCTGAGTGTCTGCTTTGGCACACATCTCAAACCGAAACTTTCCACATAGATACATCTTTCATCTGATGTCAACGTGACGAATCATTATTTATTATACTTCCCTTTCATCACAGCATG